TATAAACATCAAAATGTGATAATTGTCGAAGTGCACATGCTTCTTTAAGACCTTTTAAATATACAATACTTGCTTCTTCTGAAAGAACTTTGTCACAGTTTGGCAGTTTATGATTCTAAGCACATGCTTTATAAAATTTTTGAAAAAAAAATGAAACAAACATTTTCAAAGAAGGTAATTGCTTTATCATATGTTTCATTCGATCTCAACATAATTTTTTCTCTCGAATTGAAAACCAAACGAACGAATGGTGGTTCCACCCGCTTTAACTGATTTACCTATAATAACCAAAAGTTAAATGAAAATAATTATGAACTTAATCATGCAGAACGAAAATAAAAGTCAAATGATTAAATTGAAGATATAAAAGAACGCTAATTATCTATTATTTCTCCCATAAAGTATTTAAGAAAAATGCTTTTTTAAACTATCATAAGTGAATATTTTTTAATGTTTGTCCTTGTTTAAGATCATCTTTTATTGTACAATATATGCAATCATAGAAGCCAGTGGATTCTTTATGATTGAATAAAAGTGAATACATATCTCCAATGTTATCTACATCCAGGGAAAGTGATCAAAAGAAGCATATATCTATAAATTCACTTTGTGATATCACAAAGAATACCACTTTTACCTCGAATCAAGGTTTATTATAGCTTAAGTTCTTATAGTGCATATTTCAATTGTTGATATACATTATATGCAAACTTTATTTTAAAAAATGACTAACAAGCTACCAAGGTTTCAATTTTAAAAAAATAACTAAAACTTTCGCGATTTAATTATTTATGAAAGAAAAAAAGAACTGTATACATTTATTTTAAAATTTAATTATATGTAGACACTATCGTATTTCCACTATATAACATTATATATATCTTTTTTTCTTTCATCAACGACACCTATATATAATTTTTTCTATTGCTTCGTTTTTATTGGTCGACAGTTGTCTTTGTCATCTAACACAGAAGTAACAGAGAGAACAAAGGAAGCAGAACAGAACTTCAAATGATATATATGCATATATAGGAAGTAGATGCATTTTACAAAAATTTTGCTTCTGATTCAATAAGTCTATCAAGACAAGCGGAGGAAAAATGATAACAAGAAAATCTAAATTCGTATTCAAAAAGCATCTATCGATGTTTTAACAGTTGAGTTTCTAATCTTTTCTTTCAATGCATGTAAATATTTGAAAAATATTCTGTAATAATGTATACATCAATTAGTCGTAATTCGCCGTCCATCATGTGAGACAGTATCTTTTAAACTGCATTTTTTTCTCCAAAATTCTGACAAAATCTTTTTCTTTGAATAATGACCATTTCTCGCATATTATACATTATTAGTATTTACTAATTTTCAAGAATTTCATATTGAGTGATTTGAGCTAGTTATTTACATATATTGCTTTAATGCAAATAGAATTTCGAATGATGATGCGTTTCTTGCATCTTTTGATACTGAAGGGAATGATTGAAACTTCTGTGAGATAAGATTAATGAAAAAACAAAAGACTTAATAGTACCCGAAGACTGAGTTTTACAATTTTAACTAGGAGTGATATGTAACGAAAAAGATTCAAACAGTTGTAATTTACATGGAAAGATGTGATATTCAAATTTATTTAGACATTTAGGTCACAACAGTGCTCTATTGAAAGTGATTGATAGAACAAGAGTTGAATATTTTCGTTCCGTACTTCTTTTTCAACTAAGTACAAGGAGATGTCATAAGTGAGTACATAAATGAGTATCTAAGAATAGGATTGACTTCGAAGCAATTAATAATCATTCGAGAGAGTTCTGTGTCGTAACAGACATGAAGTTTTCTTTTGAGACAGTACATTTTGTATCGTATTCCTGAAGAATCCTAGAGTTACTTTGAGCATGTAAATTTTTATGATTCTATATCTAAAATCCGTTTTCATGAAAGTGTTGATTATCGAAAAGTGTTTTCACGATAATCGTTCAAACAGAAAATTAATTTTAAATTTCACTTTCCATTTAGTACAACTAACGTTCGTATTTCAGCTACTTTCCATCAGCGATAGCAGTATACAAATAATATAGTAGATTTTTATTTCAAATCTTAGACTTCAGTTTTTTGACGTCCTTTTTTCTTCAATAAAATAATGCCATTCAAAACAAATAGATGTGCGAAATGTAGAACTAATATTCATAATTTAAATTGATGAGCGGATGTTAATCAGAAGTATCAGATGATGAGTTGAAAGTTAGCCGTGCAGAGAAATAATACACGTATTTATTCCTTACCATGCACTCAAGAAAGAAACGCTGCTAAATTTCTGTGAAAGTGCATAAATGAGATTAAGCGAAACGACTAAACCGTTTCCTCGAAACAAAAGTCGTCGATCATCATCTTTTCAAAATTTGATTTAGGACATTACATGAGATTGAGTTGGAACTTTGTGCACATAGTGGAGATATCTCTCTCTCACAACCTCCTCTATTTCAGTTTTATTGCTTTTTATCTTACAGAAATATCACAATTCACCACATTTATAAGACTAATTGTTAGGGAGTTCCGTATCTTCAACGAAATTCAGTTCACTTTACAAGGAAGATCGAAATTCTTTTAGTTCCAAGAAGACACTTGAAGCTGGCGATTCTTTTGACTCTCTTTTTTTTATATTTCTCTGTATTGTGTCTTTGAGGCATGCATGCAGTCAAAATATTTGATAAAGCTGAGAAATTCTATGAAAAAACAGCGAATTTTGATACTCGAAACGTTTTCATCCTTTACATGAGGCCTAATTTGAAAATAAAATGCAAGAGTCACCCACCTTTAGTTTTTTTATGATAAAAGGAAAATTCAGTTTATCTTGTAAGGTGAGCTGAATTTCGTTGAAGATGCGGAACTCCTTAACAATTAATCTTATATGTGTAGTAAATTGTCATATCTCTGGAAGATGAAGAGGAATGAAACTGAAATGGGGTATACTACGAGAAATATCCCCATTATGACGGCAAAGTTTCAACAGTCTCATGTAATGTGTCGGAAATCATATTTTGAAAAGATAAAGATAGACGATTTTTTTTTCGAGGGAACGGCTTATAAGAAAATTTAAAAAAATTATTATAGTACAAGGTCACACAGTTATTACGCTTTTCAGAAAATGGTGTAAAATGGTCACAAATAATGCAAAAAAATGGTTTTATTTGTAAACATTATTTTTCATAAATATTAATCATTTTATCTTCATTAAATTAATCATTTTAATGCGTATATGAGTAGGCATTATACAGGGTTGTTTGTGACAGTTTTTCACCATTATAATGATCGGAATTTTCGATCATTTTAATGGCATTTCAGCATTGTAAATTTTGGCTGGGACCCATTAGAAAAGTTTGAACAGAATTGACCTTGACGTTTAGGAGAAAAAGGGAGAAGAATTCTTTGCTTTTTTTTGAAAATCTGGTTTCCAGGAAACTACAACGCATTTTGCGTTTTTTCCTTAAGTTTTTAATATGTACAAAGATGGTTTACTTTTTTTTAAATATGCTCATTATGTAGAGGATATCTAAATATACATACCAAACACAAAAAATAAAAGACAAACATAACAAATGAAAATGTTGAGGTCGAAAAGGAGACGGAAGTGTTCTTAAATCACCTAATGGAGGAAAAAGTAACTTTTCAACTTTGAACGACCCACAAAAGCGTTTACGTACTTGAAAATACGTAAACAATTCCACCTGAAACATTGATCACCATTGATTCGACAATCCATTTGTTGTTTTCTATGAAACATCACCTTGTTTCGCTGACCTCGCGATTCATTCTTTGCACTGCAATTGGTATTTGAGATTCTTTCGAATACCATCTGTTTATTTTTACTAGTCGTACACATCAAACACTTATCAATTAGTGAAATGATGATCTTGAGAAAAGAAAGTCAGAAAATTTTCGTTGAAGCATGAAATAAAATTGTCGAGATTAAACTGCTACTATTATTTTTAAAATCATCTATAAACGTTCCATTTGCGTACACAACGGTCTTGCACAAAGACGATTGGAAAAGACTTTAGTCTAATGATAACTAAATAGTTGATTATAAATAACAAATCATTCAGATAGTTAAACAATCGATTGATATAAGTCATCAATAATGTGTTGATGCCCTTTGATAGAGTTCTCCTAGTAATGATTGTCACGATGGTTACCTTAAAAATGGTTTGCAACTTTAGTCAGCTGCTCGGTTGAAATGGAACTTAAAGAATTCACAAGAGCAAGAAGTATCATCATGAGTTTGAACAAAAAGCAGATGGGAAAATTCGCTCTAAGTCAATTCATATTTAATTTATGCATGTATTTTAGTAAACGATTCGATTACTTAAGCTAATAAACTTTAACATTTGACAAGCTCTTCGTTGACAGCTTTAGTAAAGCGTTCAGAAGAATATTTCAAATACATCAAAAAGACATTTTTTCGTATTCACAATTAAAGTATCCACAAAGTATAATTTTTTTATATTTACTCAAGTCTCAGTACAAATGTGTTCATCTGCAAGTATAAGAATAAGTATCAAATGCACTTGATCAATACTTGTACTTGTACTTTTACTTGAAAAATACACAAAGTGCAAATAAACATATTTTTATCTAAGCTTCTTTATTGTGTCGTTAAAGTATTGAATGAATTACTAACGTTATTTTCACCATATTAGTGACATTTGCAACAACTGACACTACACACTAAGTTAAAACATGTCGCATGTGCTATGTTTTGCGACACGAGGAGCTCACTGTGACATGTTCTCTCCAGCAGGATCACGGCACATTTTCTATTGATCTTTTTTGGAACATCACATTTCGATGTTTTCTTCAATCTAATCCGATTTAATTATTCCTATTCTGAATTTTTCGTATGGTTCAACCACCTTGTTTCTATATCACTACATATGCATAATAAAACGGTGTACGAATAGTCAGTAAACAGAACGCTACAAATTCGTATACGAAATATTTTTCTGATGGAGTCCACGACACATTTTTATTTAGTGTGTACCGAAATGACAACAACAACGGTAACAACAACAACAGTAACAACTACAACGACAAGAACTACAACAACAACCTCAGAGACAACTACTACAACAACAACCACAATGACAACAACTACAACAACAACAACTGTGACAACTACAACAACAACTACAACAACAACTACAACTACAACAACTACAACAACAACTACAACAACAACTACAACAACTACAGCAACTACCACTACAACAACTACAACGGCGACAACTACAACAACTACAACAGTGACAACTACAACAACTACAACAACTACAACGGCGACAACTACAACAACTACAACAGTGACAACTACAACAACTACAACAACTACAACAACAACATCGGTGACAACTACAACAACCACAACAACAACTACAACGACAATAACTACAACAACTACTACTACAGCAGAAACAGAAACGACAACAACAACTACTACAACAGAAACAGAAACGACAACAACCACAAGTACAACAACAACAAGTGTAACAACAACAACTACAACGACAATAACTACAACAACTACTACTACAGCAGAAACAGAAACGACAACAACAACTACTACAACAGAAACAGAAACGACAACAACCACAAGTACAACAACAACAAGTGTAA